GTCTATTCATGATGAAATGTCAAAGCATACTGAGCATCTTTCTCTTTGACACCATGTCTGAAATCCCACGTGATCTGTCAAATACTAATGCATGAAAATCCTAACCTCAAAAAAATCACCCGTTAGCTGCTGCTGCAATATACGGCTGCTTCAGATTGGCTCAAAATGCTGGGCTCTGGCACGTAGATGTTCAAATATTACGGCGTTGAAGGACCAGTATGTTAAACCGGCACAACGCTTGAGCAAAGTTGTGGCCGATTTAATTTATTGAAATGAAAACCAAAGCAAAACGTTTGTATCAGTATCAAATATAAATTGGTGTTTATTCAAAATTATAGATTATTGTATTAATATATTAATATATGTATGGATATATTTTGGTTGTACAGGTTACCTTTTATTTGACTTGGAACACGGTGGCAGGAAAACGTCCTCTTGGATTCACGCTCGGAAAACAAGTGAACNTGTGACCGGTTTAAATTTCTTATTATTGTTGCCTGTCGAACTGTTTATTTACCGAAGGGACATTTTAGCATAAGTAACATAAAAGTAAACAGTTCGACAGTTGACATAATAATGAAGTTATGTTAAACATTAGGATGGGTCGAAAATGCTGCGACAAATTTAGGCCGTTGGCCTGAACAGCACGTGTTCAATGTTGATCACGGATGTGATTGGGATACGATTAACGTGAAAATTACTCGGAAGGTTAAGGATTTCTACGAACGATGTTGAGAAGAGCAAAAGAACGAGATAGGGCGTCAGGAAGTTCCAAATGTTTTCCTGGTTTATGAATAATTTTGAGATCGTATGGTGATAATTGGATCGCCCAACGGCATAATCGGCCAGTTGGTTCTTTGAGAGTTTGTAGCCAGCACAACGATGCATGGTCCGTTACCACAACCAATTCACGACCCTCAAAATATGGACGGAACTTTTCGCCCGCTAAGAGAACGGCTAGGCATTCCCGTTCGGATGCTGTGTAATTTTGTTCGGTTTTCGAGAATTTCTTTGAAAAATACTGAACCACACGTTCATTCCCATCATGTTCTTGTACTAGAACAGCACCCGCTGCGAT